AGTGCAACTCTAAATATCTAAGGTCATCAGACCTTGAGGAAGAGAGGGAAAGTGTTTAGAAAGACATAGGAGATGTGTATGCCATAGAGATTATCCTAACTCGGTCTTATTGCACAACTGAAGGATGATACCCTTATATCGGTCCAAGGGTATTACATACCCTTAACAACACAACCATAGACTCAAGCAGTATGCATCTTTATTAGATGCTCTTGCAAAGCACACTGACACATACTTTGGCCAAAGTTGGCACACTTATTCTAGCAGTACAATAATTCACAACGAGAGGTCTGGAAAGTCATTGTCAGAGTAGAGGACATCTTCAGGATTGTCTTCATCCACATATTTCCAGCGTTTCCATCGTTTCAGGTCTAAAGTAAGCTGTAGCCTTTATATGTTTAGAGAATCTGGAGATGCTTTGCTGTTGCTAGTGCTGGCATCGGATTCTCTTTGAGAAGCATTGGATTCCCTGTGAGGAAGTGTTGGTTGCAGCTTGCTGGCTATATTCTGGAGATCAGAGGGGGGACCGTAATTCCATGGGTCTTGAGAAAGTGGTCCTGGGAACACGACTGTTGTTGAGGAGGCTGCCGAGGTTGAGGTGTTTATACAGGGTTATTTGCATAGAACTCTGATATGCCCTGTCTGATAGCATCTCTAGTTGGTTCATATGCCTGCCTATAATCCCATGGTACTTCATTCAGGAATGCATTAGGCCATATTTCTTTAGGAACAGTGTGGTTCCTTTCGCATAATATCTTCTGTTTTTCTCTGTATTCAGAGTCGATATCCGCAATGCTGCATCCATATGACCTGTATGCTGTCGCAGAGGAGGATGAAGTGTTGAGGTACTCGAGCTTCAGAGTGCAGGAGCAATGAATGAAAATTATCTCCATGACCTGCTTAGTAGGGAATGTTGATTCAGGAGGACTCATGTAGCCTACCTACATGAGTTGTTATATCATTCTTTTGAAGTTATAATTTTAAGTGTGGAGTAGACACACTGTCAATTTTCTGTGAAAGGAAATTGGTACCAAAATTTGGTAAGAAATTGCTGGATTGTGGTTTGAAGTGCAGTTGAAAGCTTAGCCATCCTGTTAACTATGAAATATGGACGAGGAATAGGCTGTCCATAACCATAAAGAAGGGCATGAGTAAGTAGTTGTGAGTCGGCCACAGTTGCCTGCTTTCTCAGCCTTATCCTCATTGCTTCCACTTTGGTCTCACCACTTTGGTTATGCTTAACTTTGAAATCTGAAGTAATGACAATTTTGCAGGATGTTGATGCTTTTGAAGCTTGTATAAGAAACTTGAGGCATGCCAAAATAATTTTACTAGTGACCCATGCACTTGATGTGTGTGCCTTTTGCGCATGGTGTTTACATTGAGGCACACACGACTGTCAAAAAGTTGGATGATATGGAACTTGAGTCTGTCTGTTAGATGCAATTTGCTTGTGGTTTAGAAAATAGGTTTATTATTCATGTTCCTCACTTGTTTTTGCACTTGCAATTTGTTAGCGATTCTGTTTTTATGCCTATAGGTTGAAATAGGGAGTCTCTGTTAGGGTCTTTCCAGGCTGTGGCCTCTGGTAACCCATTTTTTATGCTTTAGCATTTGCTTTGAGTTAGTTTAGTTTTCAGTGAATGCCATGAAGAAGAATAATGGTGGACTTAGCATATGCTGGTAATGCTGGTGTTGCTATGATCTCTGTGAAATGTACTTGGTAATTGAACCTGGAATTGCCTTTGTGTAAGCCTGGTTTTATATAGTTTCTCCTCCTTTTGATTGCAGAATTACTTCGAGTTTGAACTGAGGGACTGGATGACTGTCTAACTAAAAGAGCTACCTTAAGGGTCGAATTTGTTAAGTGGCAGAGTTTTGCTTTGCCTTCTGCATTTTGGTTGGGTGTATTGGACTTTTTGCTCCCCTCTCTCCCTCCCTCCCTCCGTCCTTCCCTCTCTCTCTGAATATACCCATGTATTATTGAATGTTTTATCATTCTATTATGTTGCTTCCTTAGTAGATCAAGGGGCTAAATCCTCCTTTCGGAGTTAGAGCAGCTTTGGCGAACAAGTTTATTGATAAAGCTCTTGAATTCAAACCAAAGCTCCTTATTCTGATTGTGCCATCCGAAACTGAAAGGTAACTATTTTACTTTGAGCCCTCTCTTTTTCCTTTGCAAATACTTAAATCTAGTGGTGCGTTGCAGATTAGATGAGAAAATGTTTCAGTATGATCTGGTGTGGGAAGATGATCGATTGTTGTCTGGAAAGGTGAAATGGGACATCCTGTTCATCCTTCTGATCATATGTTTGCATCTGATGGCTTCACTGTAACCCTTTCATTTTCAGTCATTTTACTTGCCAGGGTCCATTGACGTGGAGGATAAACAAATTGAACAGTGGAACAATAAGCCACCGTTGCTGCATCTATGGAGCCGTTGAGATTGGACTGCAAAATACAGGACAATAGCCCAAAAGCAGGGTCACTTGCCAACGAAGAGAAAGAGGCCACTGTCAAGCGATGATTGCAATGGATCACTGGATCTTCATTATCCGAAAGATGACTGGAGCCTTTGGGTCGGTACTTCGTCACTCACAGGTGATACCTACGTGCCAATGGGCAGGCCTGAAGAAACCAAAGACCGAGTCGATATGGCTGAAGGTCAAAAAGGGTGTTTTTCTCGAAATGACAGCGGAACAGATAGCAGGGAGTCTACTGGGACTTCTACGGGGAAGGCCAATGGTATAGGAACAAGTGGAAGAGAAATTTATGAGAAGTCACCTGCAAAGGAAACACCTCATCATCCCTCGCTTAAGTTGACAGATGGGAAGTTGTCATTCAACGATCGGTCCTCTAAGCAAAAGGCAGGTGGTAGAGGAATACGCGGAAGAGAAATTGATAAGGAGCCACCTCGTTGTCCCTCGCCCAATTGGACGAATGGGGAGTCTTTTTGCTCAATGATCGGTCCTTTAGGGGAAAGGCAGGTGGTAGAGGAATACGCGGAAGAGAAATTGATAAGGAGCCACTGGCGAAGGTAACCTCTCGTCGTCCCTCACCCGAGTCGTCTGTCAATGATTGATCCTCAAGAACACGTGAAGTTCTCTTTGAGAAGGATGTCTGCGGCGGCATGAATTATCAACACGCTGGCCCGAGCATGTCTGTCACATGCTGAGAACTTTTATGGCGGGCAAGGATCCACTCTCTCTGATGATGCCAGCAGGATGTATGGACTGAACAACAATGAACATTGTTCAACTCAGAGATGGTCAAGTGGTGGTGGCCCTCTTACCATTCATGGGGCACGGAACTTGGAGGGACAGCGTACAGCTCATATGAGGGACACTGATAATTGCAGACTCAATGTCTCTGAACCTTACTAGAGGGACCTGGAGATGCGTTCGCCGGTCCGTCTGTATGGTCAGCAAGATCCAAATGTATCTCAAAGAAATTACATGACAGGTCATGATCCCGGGTATGACCAGCCAGGGCCCTTGACATCTACCTGTGGACTCCCGGGTTCCATCGCCGAATCATCCCAGCAAGCGAACATGTCAGCGATGGAACGATATGCTTCCCATTTGGATGAACTGAATCCGACGAGAACGAACAATGCGAGGCCTGAGGGAACCGTGATTCGTGGAAACGGGTATCTTGATCCTAACGGGGGACCGCAATTTGGATAGCAAGGCGATTCTTCTGGCTTTGCTACCGGTCCTCGTTGGCCATACTCTCAACAGAATACTTTCGGTTGGCTTGATGAATAGGTGCTTGGATGTTACTTCCCGTTCTTCCTCTTCCTACATGTTTTGACAATGTTTCAGATTGTTAAGTCGTACTCTCAACGGCGATCTATATAATTTTAGTTCAGAGAAGAGGACAAGTTTTTACAGCATGGTTCTGATATTTCACTTTCTGCTTGAAATTTGCGGATGCTTTTCTTAATCGAGAGTGCAGCGTGTCAACTTGACATCTATTGCTCTTAGGCATGATTGAAAACACTCTCTCCTATGCCCGTCTCCTGTAATTTTTTCTTTTCTTCTATTTTCCTAGCCTTAGCCTTTTCACGTTCCGGCCGATGGAGTCCTAAATCTTTTTAATTTTTTTAATTTTTTTTCTTATTTTTTCTTTACTTCTTTTTTTTATTTTTATAGTGGCCGGCCTTGCGAGGCTAGATCTAGCCAAAGCCAGGGGAGGGCTGCGACGCCCCCTCGCCTGGTGGCCAATGAGGGCCCGGTGACTCTCGCTGGCCACAGTTAAAAAAAAAGAAGAAGGAAAAGAGAAGAAAAGAAAAAAGGAAAAATAATAAATTAAATGGAAAATCGATAAAAATATAAAATATTATTAAAAATTATCCATGTCAGTAATTTTCAGCAAAAATTGGCCGTATAGACCTAATTGACAAGCGTGAATTGGTTTAGAATTCAATTGGCACAATAAAAAATTTAGGATTGAATTTGCAATCCTTCGCTTGTTTCGACATTTTAGAAATTTGAGTAAAGTTCGTAAAGGAGTGGGATCGGATATTTTAGAGAGTTTTGAGTCACTAAATCTGGGATACGGAATAAAGTTCGTGGGAGAGGTTCTCCTCCGATTAATAATTTCATTAATGACATCGATATCGGTTCATAACCTCATGGGACGTGATCATTTATCATTGGCCTCTCAATCTATCTCTTTGCATTGACGAATTCGAAGTCGACTCAGCATTCTTCACCTGTCAACATGTCGTTTGGCATCATTTCTCGTTCGAACCTCTTAGCCCCTTCCAGATTATAAACAAAACCCAATGCAACCAACTACACAAGCACGATAACCATATCATAACATTTTTCTCTTCGCATACAAAACCCAATGCAACCTCCTACACAAGCATGATACCCGTATCAAAACATTTTTCTCTTCGAATGTATGAATGTGTAGCATCAATGAGATGCATGATTTTTGTTGTGATTTTGTTAAAGCGAAGGTAACATACCTTGGTGCGCTGGGAATGATATATGCGATTGCTGTACTCGATCACCTGGGATGGGAAAGAGCCCATGTCATTGGCCATTCAATGGGTGAGTTTTGAATGACCCAAATTTCATGGATGCTTATTTGGCTCTATGGTTCATATGAGAAATTGAAACAACCATTCCGATTGCAATTTCTGGATGCCTGGATTTATCTGGCCATTTTTTAAACTTAATAATGAACTAAAAATCACATTCATGACATGTCTGCCCGTGAGTCCAGATCGGGTTCCTGTTTGTTTCAGGGTGACTAACTGCCCTCTTTGGCTGTCAAAACAGGAGCTATGATCGCTTGCAAGTTGGCTGCCATGGTGCCCCACAGAGTTTTATCTTAAGGATTGCTCAATGTGACTGGTGGAGGTTATGAATGTTTCCCAAAGGTATTGCATCCATTTCAGTATGCGATGGTCCTTCCTTTGAATAGAATGATGGAGCTTCATGGAGGGCACCTAGTGAGTCATGAGAGGACTAAAGAGGTACTTTATTTGAACAATAATTGGAAAGCTAGATATTGTTTTTTTAGAGGGCAGTTTTTCTGGCACTACTACATGCTTGCTCCATGATAATTTATAGAGGGCAATTAGGTTTTCGGAGTGCACTGGACAAACATGTGAATAAGTTGGATGAAATCATTCTAGACGGTTAGCTTAGTGCTTATAGGTTTTGTGCTAATTATCAATGAAATTGATATACTTTAATTCTTTCAATTGACTTGTTGTGCGTATGAATTGAGATCAAAAGGAATTTGTAAAGTTTATTCAGACTTGAGAGGTTTTTAGATGTGGCTTTTGAACATATTATTGCAGTCCAGAGTTTCTCAAAAATGAGGGAATCACATCAAACTGTTTCGGTATTTTGGTCATACAAGTTGATTTGATTGTCTGGGCTTGATTGTTGAACTGCAAAAGATGGATTGAAGCTATGCTCTTGTTCAGGTTAATCAAGCTCTTCTCAAGCTGATCAAGGTATCAGAAATGAAGGTTGTCCAGCATGATTGGACTGACTTGCCTAACAATAGCCCTGGTGAGTATTTCCATGCTCAGAATGATTTCCCGGTCTCATTTATTCATTCTCTGAAGCATTTGTGCATGTTAGAGAATCCCGAGATCGACCTAGTCTTCAAACTTTTTGATGAAAGGATGACTCTAAAATGATGAAAGAATTCATTGTCTTAATGACGCCTTATGCAAACTATGCTAAATATAATTGGGAATGCGGTGAAGTTCACAAAGCAAGGCTACGTATCAGTTGTAGCTTCCATTGCAAAACTAAAGTCTTTAGCGGAGTGGCAACCAACCGATTTCCATCCAGTCTTTAGCAATGTCCACTTCTACCTGAGAGTGCAGGTTGATGGCTTTTGCAGTTTAGCTTCATTTAGCATGTATAGATTGTCCTTTTGTGCAAAACTCCTTATCTTCAGCTCTCTCTCTCTCTCTCTCTCTCTCTCTCTCTCGGCTTGCTATATATTGCTTTGCTTCATGTTCTCTTGCACTGATAAATTTGAATTACAGCGCATCCAATATCAGAAAACATGGCTGTCTTTTGTAAAAATCGATCTGGGTTATCATTGTCTTAATGACGCAACTGACTTGGATTCTCATAACAAGTTAAGGACTCTGGCTGTGGCATACAGCCACAAGATATTTCTCAAATATTTACCAGATTTATTCATCCTCGAAGTGGATCTAATCGAGGTAGTGGCGGTGTAGGACTTGTACTTGCTATTTGCAAAAGGTAGATTGCACACTGCTTAACGCTTTTGCTCAAATTGCAACTTTCTTTTCTTGTGTAAGCATATATGGTCGTTTGGACGCTTTACTGATTACTAGTTCGTCAAGCATATGAAGCCCTATTGTCTCATGCACACTAAACTGTGAGTCAGAATGTCCAACCTTGGGAGGGCTTCAAATGAGTTCAGTTGAATCAGGAAAGATCTATGGATCTTTGAACCTTAAATTTTATGCTTCTCGAAGCATAATATCAAATAGCAGCCCTTGAGGTTGTGGATTGATTTATTTGCAGTGGTTACTATTTTAGTTTTCTGACCCCTTTTGGACACTCATGATATCTCAGAGACAATTTTCTTGACCCTTTTGTCTACTAAAGTTTGCAAGCCACCGGATGAAATTGCATTATCTTGATTTTGTGATCTGACATCTCGCCTACTCTCCTTTTCATGATTTTAGATTTATAAATCTCATGAGAGGTCACATATCCATCGAGAGTGAAGGCCACGACAAGGGCACTGACGTCACTTTTGTCGTCAAACTACAGAAATGCAGCAATGCAAATGACTCGGCAGCACACAAGATTACACCTAGAGCTCAGTCTAGTCAAGTCATGGTTTGTGCCGATTTTGCTCGGCACAAACCTCACAGAGATACTGACAGAACGGTCCCCTCCAACTCCCAGTATCAAAGAAGTTTTTGAAGCCTCAAATGCAAGTTGGCATATCCCAACGAGGTCTTCCCAAGATATCTTTCAGATGAAAAATGGGTACTGACTACGTAATCCCTCTTCATCTTGGAGGCCTGCACATCTGATACTTGAGTGATACTTCAAAGCATCAACTTTATGTCTTGATTAGAGAGGTCTCGAGGATGCGAGTAAGAAGTTGTGCAGGGAGGCCCTTCTATTTTTTTGTAAGTAAAAGAGTTTTTGTATGATCCAGTAATTGTCATATACTACCATAGGCGGATTGGGATGAATTCGCTAGAACACGAGGGACCCGACGCAAGTGTCCAAGCAGTCTTGTGAGTATAACTTTCGACTGTTCCAGTAGAATAACCGTTGATCCCTGCACTCTCAATTTTCTTGTGTTTGCACTTGCCCTACATAGTCCTAGGAACTAGGTCCATGATGCACTATAGTTTGGGATGTTCCCAATGATGGAAATTCACGTTCTCTATGTGCGGAGCAATGACTAACATGCGCTTTAAGAGTTATTAGCAAAATGTATTACCAAATCACTCTCCTTCTGCAAATTTGTTAGTATAATAATAGCAATAACTATTATTATTATTGTTGTTCTTTGCCTTTTTCTTTCCGGGTGGGGGGTTGGGGGACGACCGGATTGAAGGCGGCACCAGCAGCTCTTGGAATTAATCGCCTAATTTTTGCGAATGACATCTCAAGCTTTTCACAAGAGCCTCTCAATTTACATGCAATGGAAGCTTTGTCTAGAGGAATGTTTTCGCACTACTTTCTGCCTCCTCCGATGTTGGGTTTTCGTCCTCGTGCTCATGCACTTCTCATGTGCTATCTTGTTTCGTTTTTTTTTTATTATCTTTTCCAGGCAATACCAAGCTCGCACCAGAGGTCTCAATGCGTACGACCGGCGCTGGAAGTTGGTCGATGATTTACGGTGCGTGTGGCTTCTTTCTTGTCTCGCATCTCCCCTCTGATAGAATGGGAATTCCGCTTTTGTCTGTGGGTTGCTGAAATTTGCTGGGTAATGTCGTGTCCGCGGAAGTTCTCTGTGTACTAAGCTAGTTACGACTCAAGTTTCAGTTCGTGGTGTGATTTGGTTAGCCGTATGCTTTGCTCTGGAGTTGGGACTACATGAAACGATGCACATTAAGAGCTATTGATGTGTGGTTTTCCCGTGGTCCTATATGAATAGGATGATGAACAGTCCCCTCCAATTAGAAGGATGGGGGCTACTACAGTCATCCTCATATTCTCGTCTTCGATGTCGATGGAATTCCGACTTGCCTTCTATCCTAAATTTTCTACAATAATTCTGTGTGAGGATTTAGTTGAGTGGGACTTAGTTATCTGCTGAAGTTGGATCCCAACAACGAGTGCAAATATCGAGCTTCTTATTTGTAGGTTCATGGTGTCCTGCAGTAAAATGGATAAAGAATGGTCCTTTTTGTGAAGGAGGAGGTGTCTACACTTACCCTCACATATTATTTATTTTGGGTGGAGTTCATCTTAGGTTCTTATTTTCAGCAATGTTAATTCTTATGGTGATATGGGTCTTCGCCATATTAGAGCATTCCAATTATGGAGGTATGCTTGCTATTTCTTCGTAGGCAAAGTCCCAGCTTACCATCTTACGGGTTTTGCAGTTACTTTCTATGGCAAAGAAAGATCAGCACTAGCAAATTTGCCAGTTAAAACTGATCAAGACACTTTACGAGAAGGCTACAGGTATTTTCATCTTGTGTCCCTATACATTTTTATAGCATTTTGTATATGCAATATTTCTATTTTGAGCCAGAGGGTACTAGTTATGTTTATTTCGTTTTGAAGCGCTAATTATAACTTTATTGAGGACTATAACTTAAGAGAGAGGGCATATGATCAAAGTGAAATGCATCAATGTTGGCAGGCGTTCCATCTTTATAAAAATTCATTCAATACTCATGGTTCTTAAATTTCGTTTTCCTCATCAGTGAATCAGAGGCTACATCAAGTGTACCACTGCCGATGACTTTTACTGTATAAGTCAACCGTTTCTCTCCTTTCTTTCCTATTTTTTTGGGGATTTGATGGATACTGATGTTCACAAGCTTATGGTGTCATTTGTGCAAGTCTTGTATGATGTTGTTATGCTACATAGGTTAGATTGAATGAAGCGATGTTTTGAACTGCTACTCGTTCTTCCATTTGGTATCTCTTAACAGTTTGCTATGAATCATGAACTATTAATTGGGAGTTTGCTCAGTTTATATGGATGGTCTTTTCATCTATCTTTGACATTTCTTCTCCTGCACTTCAGTGTATGCATTTATCGATTTCGGCGCTCTTTATCAAGGTCATATTTACTTCAGATTTATTTTTATACTTTAATTAATGGATTGATTTAGGTTTATAAGAACAGAGGAAGAATTGAAGCCGATTGTTAGCTTGTGTGAGGAGTGAGAGTTTCTTCTTGACAAGAATCCTGCTAGTTATAACCAATCTCTAAAAGTTAAACATCGAGTAAGAAATGAACTGCAAATACTAACCTAACAACACCATACACAAAAAATTGGGAGAAACAACTCTTCAAAACCCAAAACCATTTATCTGCATGAGCAGAATAACAAACCACAAGATTAATAATTAAGGAAACTTGAGAGATGAATAGGACCAAAATAGCTTATGCTTCGCTCCTCTTTGCTACGTAAAACAACAGCCCATCAGCCTCCTTTAAGAGACACTTTTTCCCACCCTACCAAGGGTTCCAAGCTTTCAACTCCTAATTTATCCACTCCCAAAAAGGGGAGGTGCCACATGGACAACGTCTTGGCCAAAAACAGCCAATACTTAAAGAAGTGAAAGGTGCAGCTGAAATTTGGATTGGATCGGGAAGTACGTGCCCTGAAAAGTATTTGCATTGGATTGCTGGGAAGAGAATACTTACCTAATTAGATCAGCAATAGATACAATTTTTCGAGTTCTCCCGCTGTGCACACTCGCGAAGCTTAGGTAATCTTGCCATGGAGCCATCATCATCCACTACCATACAGAGAACTGCCACAGGTTCCAATCCAGCCAACACAGCAAGGTCGACAGAAGCTTCTGTATGCCCAGCTCTTTTCAGGACACCACCCTCCCTGTACTTCAATGGGAAAATATGTCCTAGCCTGTTGAAATGTTCAGGTTTCAAATCTCTAGATGCAAGAGCCAAAACTTTCGTTGCCCTGTCAGGCGCTGATATGCCTGTAGTTATCCCATGCTTTGCATCCTATAACAATATCTAATTAATTATCATCAGTTACAAGATACGAGAAGAGCTGATTGAAGGAACTATTTAAGCATCTTACAACATATACCACAGTCACGGTGAATGCAGTCCGAAGCTTCTCTTGATTCTCCCCCTGATTCACCATCAAAGGAAGTTGCAAGCGGTCCAAATCCTTCCTCTTTCATGCTCGCACAAACAATCCCAGTGCCATACTTCACCATAGATGCCATAGCCTAAGGTGTTGCCATTAAAAGATCATCCTCATTCTTCCTGTCTTCATCGTCTGCCACCATTACAATCTGGAATTCAGTTCCAACCATGAGATAGGCATTAATGGATGAACAATTGAAATGCACTCGAAAATGCAATGCAGAAAGCCTACCAACCTTCCCTTAGCGGATGTCCTCGATCGCTTCTGGAATAGAAGCAAAGGCTGCTCTGGGTGGATCCAAGTCAAATTCATCATCTTCGATGAGGATAACTCTCTGTAGACGAAAAACCAATTTGGCGAAGAAGGGTGGGCCTGAAGCAGCAAATTTGTTGATTTCGAGTTTCGGCAGACTCTACATGAAACTAGACCACAGTTAGATGAATATAAGACACATTTTTCCGTTGACAAATGCCCTAAATTCTAAGTGTTTACTTTCACATGCAACCGAGAGGTTTTGCAATCCTGGTATGGAGATCTAGCGATTGCTCGTGATACCTTCATTATTCATCGAAAAATCTGATATCTCGTGGATGCTCATGTTGTGTTTTCATGCACGTTGGACGTTGGACCACAGGTGTGATTTTGAAATTTCACTTTATTTAATTTATGGGCTCGTAAGATTACCAATTCTAATAGAAGACATGGTCTCTTTTTTCCCTATTAAGCATTTCAGGTGTATCGAAAGAAGATAAATATTATTTACAAACCGAGAGGATGTGGTAGAGACGATCAGTGTTAGAACCCTCGAAGCGTTACCGTGGGAGTTCAAAAATTGTGTACGCTATCGTAGGGTCTAAGAGCATAGTGTTAATGGCATTTTGCCTGCAAATTGCCAGGTTGGGATTGAGGACCCATGCTAGAAAATAGTAGCATAAATGTGCATTTTGTTTTCCTTTTGTTTCTTTAGTATTTGCTTGTTTTTATTATGTTTCTCATCGTAGATTGGTTCACAAAATATCTACATTGACAGAATATTACTTGTGAGTTCATAAAGAGATACATTCAGAAGAACTGGCATATTGCGACTCTTAGGTATTTAGACAAATCGTGGCTGGGGCAGCTCAACACCTATCAACACAATTTTTTGCAGCAAACATCTCTAGCGGTTGGTCAGTGTTCGCAAGAGAAACTTGTCTGCATGTTTGAACTTTTTGGTAGGGATGGTGTTGTGTTCAAAGTCTCCATCTTCAGCAATGCCGGTAGCGATAAGAACCTCATTTAGGTCGATTGAGATGAACATTGGAAGATTCACTTGAGGCTATATATCAGCAAAGCAATTCGTGTCTCCTTTATTCCGCTGCGATGAGTCAATTGAAAGTGCACTTACTTTTGGCTTTTCTTCTGAATTAGTTACAATCTCATGAGAATTATCCTTATTTCCCTTTGTGCAGTGAGCCCTTTCGAGCATCTTTTCCATGGCATATCTCCATGGTGATTGTCACCCATTCCACATCTGTGCCTCACTGTCCAAACTTTTCCCAAGTTAACTTGCTTTCAGTAGAAATTACTGGATATGTTATCTTCCTTCAAGTGTTCATGGCCATATGTGTAAATCAGGACACAAGGTCATAGGGTTGAAAAAGGCAATAACCACCATGAATTAGGAATCTAATGATTTATAGTTCAAGTATAAATGCCTCCCAAAAGGGACTACTTGATACTTTCTCTGCACATAATGACTACTCTCTCTCTCTCTCTCTCTCTCTATATATATATATTTTATAGGGATTGTCATAAATAGTGTTTATTCTTTACAAGCAGCTTTGATTGCTATCCTAGTGGAAATATGGACGGTTACTCAAATGTAAATGTTGATCAAGGTCGCTTTTGGAGAATTTTTGTCCAGCAAATATAAGAATCTAATAGACAATAAAGAGCAATTCTCTACTAATATGAACTAAAGATACATGGGATTGCATTTTCCCTTAGCTCCCAAGCACTTCGATCCTTGGACCATGTTCTCCTTCTAATCCTTGACTTCTGACTCTTCAGGATTTCTATCCTCTCTTATTCTGATTTTACTCCGATGCACTTCAATTGTTATGGTGCATAAGTATCATTCAATGAGATTAGATGTTGCCGCATTTGTGGGTCCATATGTAAAGAGTAGTAGCTATGAAGGTTGTGCCCAGTTTGGTTTTTGTGTCCCCAATTCAAACCAAACGGATTACATCACATGTATCTTCAGTGTCTCTTTACTTCGAATTGCAAATCGAGATATCAACATGGCAAAGGCAGGTCATAGAATCAGAATCCAAGACCATTTGTAGGGAGAAGTTCGGCAATTCACTTAATGTTGTTGGATTAGATTGTAAGAGGTGGATCAAACAAGGAAACTATGTTGATGAGGACTTACTAACACAGCAACAATGTGTCTAACTCGGTGATGGTGGACCAGTTGTGATTGTACGGTTTCACCATTTTGATATAATGACCATGTAAGAGTGTTCAAGCTCTAAAGAGTTACAAGATATTTTTGTACTTTTCTATAACTAATCAGAGTGTGTGAAAAGAAGATCGATAACTTCATATTTTCACTAGATTCGTGTGTGTCTCTTATATTTGATTACATGTACTCTATTAGACATATACATTCTATATGGGCACTAGCACTCCCCCTTTTCTTTATGTTTGCTTGTAGCTATTATGTTTCTCATCTTAGATTGGGTCACAAAATATCTACATCGACAGAGTGTTACTTGTGAGTTCATAAAGAGATACATTCAGAAGAACTGGCATATCACGACTCTTGAGTATTTAGACAAATCGTGGCTGGGGCAGCTCAACACTTATCAACACAATTTTTTGCAGCAAGCATCTCTGGCGGTTGGCCCACGTTCGCGAGAGAAACTTGTCTGCATCAAGATGTCTGCGCGTTTGAACTTTTTGGTAGGGGCGATGTTGTGTTCATAGTCTCCATCTTCAGCAATGCCGGTAGCGATAAGAACCTCATTTAGGTCGATTGAGATGAACCTTACAAGAGTCGCTTGAGGCTATATATCAGTAAATTCGTGTCTCCTTTATCAGCTGCGATGAGTCAATTGAAAGTGCACTTACTTTTGGCTTTTCTTCTCTTTTCTGAATTAGTTACAATCTCATCAGAATTATCCTTATTACACATATATTATATGAGGACTTGTTTTGTTCTGGAGCTGTCTATTTGGATCGAGATTTGTCTTCTTATCCTCGGTGAAAGCACCAAAGTTACATTGGATGATGATATGCTACTGTGCCCTTGGTATGCTTACAGGCGGCAATATAGGGAAGAGATATGCCAGAATCGATGAGCTTGGCGTGCCCCTTTCAATCACTGTCCTTTCAAGTGCTGCTGATGCTGATGCCACCATTCGAGAAAGGGACAGCAGAGAGGGAGTTCAGGTTAATATGGGTATAGTGGCTTCCGTTGTGAAGGCTTTGATTGACGGGTCGAGGACCTGGTCCGACGTAAGGTCAAGTTTCCCACATCGTGAATAGTTTAGTTGCTGATATCATTGTTTACTTAACTTTACATCAGTTAGGATCAAACATTTTTGTCACAATTTTGGGGGACATCCGAGGTAGCAAACAAATGGTGTACTTTTGATACGTCTTTTGCTGGCTAAACATGCTGTTCATGTCTTTTTCGTGTGGTAACCCGGAGATAAAAACAAATAGGAAGTTGCAGATCTGCCTTGGTCTCTTCTCTTGATTTCTATCGCTAATTTTTCATAGAAATTGTCTTAATATCGAGTCTGAAATACGCTGAATTTTGCATTGTTTACATGTGTTTTTTTTTGGGTATTTCGTTGAAAAGATGACTTCTAAAAGTGAGGATAACATAAACCCTAGTTTCCCGTGACTCCGATATGCAAAGCCCCTTCCACAATTTGTATGTTATCTCACGAAATGATGCGAATTTTGTTTAACAAGAGACAAAAATATTAGCTTCGAAGAGTTTCAATGTTGCAATGTTGTAAATTACCAATTAGTGAGAATTCCTACCTTTTTCCGCAACTAGTCCCCTGAAGTACTTCCTTGGAAGATTTTTATCATTTTCACTTGACACCACAATAATTTTGTTAATAGCACATACAATTTTCCTATATTAAGAAACTTTCTGACCGTTATCAAGTTCTTATATTTTACTATTATATATGATATGAACTCAGAACTCCGATTCTTTGTTGTTTGAAAATGGGTAGATTCATAACGCAATTCGACGGGTAATTCATATTCGAACTCGCATTCCGATCTTATATAGATGAAAAAATTCATGGAAATTGTCTTAATGTTGAGTCTAAAATACGCGGAATTTCGCAATGTTTACATGTGCTATTAGGGTGGGTTTTTTTTGGTCGAAAAGAGAATTTCTAAAAATGAGGATAATATAAAACCCTAGTTTCCCATGACTGATATGCAAAGCCCCTGCCACCGTCATGGCTGTTGCTCCGCCAGATGCTAGAAATGTTCTTGCTGTTCAGAGATCCTAGCTTTGATCGCATGGCGGCCGATCTTAGGAATAGAGTAAAGGCAACTATTTCTTTTACACAATCCTTCGTTGATCTCCATCTGTGATGCTCCAGGGGGCTGCACGAGCACGACGCATCCTTAGGGAGTGGCTGACGTTCTATCCTCCTAAAGGAAAGTTGAAATTGCTACGTATGGTTTTGATGTATCGTGTTCGTGTTCCAATCTAATGCGACTCCATGGTTGGTGAATGGTACCGGAGGCTTCTTTTTATGTGTCATTCTCTTCATTTCATTTTCGGGCATACCTCAGAGTTTAAGGTTAACTATGACACTGCCTTGTTGAGATCACTAAACTACATCCTCCTTAAATCTAGTTAGGGGTGTCAAAGTTCGACACATCATGATTCTATTCAATTTGATCTTAGACAATTAAGTAAAAACATTCTGCTTTTGACTCTAACCACTTCTTTTCAATCAGAAAGTTGGCTAGAATCATTAATAACCAATTATCAATAGTAAAGAACGATAATTTCCTAATATGACATTTTTTTTTCATGATTCATTGGTCAAGAAAATTCCAAAATCAATTTTAGGCAAACTTCAATTTCATTCAGCTTTAGAGAAAACCCTAATTTTTCAGTGGTTTGATTCAAGTTTCAAGTATAAAATGGAACCGACCCAAATTATTTAATATGGTCTCTAAATTATCGATAAGTATTCAATTTAGTCTTTAGATTATATGAAAATGTATAATATTGTCCTTTTATTAATTCAACTTAACGAAATCTGTTTGGACGGTGGACCAAAAAAAAAAAGTTACACGTGAATTTTCTTTGTAAGATATTCATTTCAAATTTGAATATAATAATCTATATCATCAAATAACGGTAAATATTCAATATAATCTTTATCTAAAAGATGGATAAAATGATGGATATATCAATTCATTATTTTTAAAAATTCAACTCAGTAAATAAATATCTGCCTCGTCAAAATAACGTCCGATTTATAATTTGAGAAAATAAAAAGATTATATATAATTTAGTGATGATATTTAATAAATTAAAAGTTGGGGGCCTTATTAGTGTTATTTTCCCCTTATAAAGAAACAGTAAGCCTTATGCATTTTCATCGATCCCGAAAACGATCAGCTCCTGCTGTCGCGCAAACAAAACAGAAGTCAGTGGCGCCCCGCCTCCGACGAGCGACGACGCAGACTCCGCCGCGAACGCCGACGAGCTCCCCCCGGCCTCCGGGAGGCCGCGGTTCTCAGCCGCTATTCGAAGCGCCTCTAGTCGACTGCGAAGCTCCGGAGGGGGGAGATTAAGCGAGTCTTGTTGTTGGTCGACGTGCTCGGCAGTAGACGGCGACGTGCCGAGGCTGTTGCTCCGAGCGCGAAGCGCGTAGATCCGGGGCGGAAAGATCCGCTCGTCCTGTCCGATCCTTCAGGAAGTTGCTGCTCGACTCGCGACGCCGTGCGTCTGCTTGGAAGTTCTTGTCGAACAGCTGTTCGATGACAATTATGGAATTGAAAATGGAAATTTTGAAGATTACAAACAAACGGTGATGCGACTGATGCGACGCTAATCCTCCTGAGTCCGCTTCAATTCAGGTTTTTGAGATGGCTGATGATCGGAGTAGTCTCTCTCATACTTTCAAGTACTTACTAGGTCAGTGCCACATCCGTTGTTCTTTTTTCTCTTCGAATCTCTTCTCAATTTGGTAGCTTTTGATGCGTTGTTTGATCGGATTTTGGAAGTTTTGTGCGTTTTTCTTTTGCTGAGCAAGTTGGTTTCTTTCTCTTGGTTTTCCCAATGGTGGAAATCAGCTACGCAGTTTTTGGCCAGGGGAATCCCTTTTCTGTTCAATACGTGGATAGTGCGGCATCTCACTGCAGACGATTACGCGGTACTCGATTGGTCCTGGCCTTTTTTTTTTTTTTCCTTTGTTAATTGTTGAAATGTTCACTGATGCTGCATTATCAGGTGTTGTTTATTAGCCGGTAAAAATTTGGACTTGCAGTCGTTTAGTATATGCACACTTTTAGTTTGCCTTCCGGCATCAAGGAATGGGAAATTAGTGTTTGCGGGAGTTTCTTGCAGGCTAACTATTCTTCATTCTTCTAGAATGTCTGAGTTTGCATATAAGCGAGAGACCCTGTTATGATGTATGAAGTTGGAATTTTAGCAGTTAATCCTTATCCCCTGATGCTGGGTCTCTCTAATCTCGCATCCTGTACTATCTGTGATGTATTCCGATATTACATAGATGAGATCTTTCAATATGTTATGTTATGCCATGTTATGATCTTCTGCTCTGTGTCTCTGTAGATTAGACTGAAATTTCTGTGTCGTTATTAATGAAGCTCTACGCGGTAAAATTTCATCTGTTCGTCACCTGTGTGTTGTTCCTCAGTCGGGAGGGATTTTGTCGAGCATGCATGCGAGCTGACATTCAATGGTGCTTCTCCTTGCTCTTTCATGTATGCATATTGGTGACAGTTGTGCTGTTAGACTTTCTATCATTCTGACGTTGTGTATATACTAATTTTTGTTTGGTCGAAGCATATATACTAACTGGCGCTTGAAGGAGTTGGCACTATTGGATCTGTGTTCAAGTTTATTGATTACTTGCTAAGTTATGTCTATGTTTGTATACACTTACCTTTACCAAAAAAAAAAAAAAATGTCAATGTTTGTATATTGTAGGGGAGACAGCATCAGTAAATAAGCAAACTGCTTCTGGTTTGGTGTTTTGGATCTATTGAAAAATAATGAATGCCACCTAGTGCTATCTATTGTTATATCCTTCGAAAAATTCCCATGTCAGATTCACATATTTAATGTCCATTTTCAATTGTCAATCAAGTTTTCTCTGGTTTGCTGGCCTAGTGACTGGAGCTAGTTTTATATAGTTCCATCTCTCGTCGGACTTGTGGAGGCTGCTGTTTAGTTTGTCTTTGCTACCTGTGTTTTCATAAGTTTGTGCTCAATCAAAACCTTTATAGCTTTCTCTGGGTCCATTGTTACCTGTATCTAATCCTCTATATATCCAAAGAAAAAGAAGTCAGCTGTTGGTGTGTGGCAGTAGTACACATGAACTAATATCTGGAATTTATGTAGGTAACAAGTCAAAAAATGTAGACCTTGATGTTCATCTGCATTACTTTTAGGAGTTTGTGCTTTGTGGTTCTGTTTCCGACTCATAGTTTTTTTGAAGTTATGGATATATACTTACCATAATGTCTTGTGATGCTTTAGCAATGGAGCTTCAGCAGGAGAAAATGTTATAAAGCTATTGAAAGTTGCTTGGATGACTATACCACTTGGACTAGCCATTACTGCTGCGGCGTGTTCTTTTATCTTCTGGTGGCAGGAACTAAGTCATTCTGACCCATATGCACAAGCTATTCTTATAAATGGTAACGTTCTATCCTTATCAGACTTTAAGTAGTAAGTTTGCAGATTGTTTGTAAGTGGTTTGGAAATTGAACTCATTGTGTTTGGTTCTAAGTGGCACTTCTGAATAGCTCTATGGCCCTCTGCATAACATGCTCTCCCTGGGAAAGGCATGTGCAGAACCTGTTATAATATTTCCTTAACGCATCTTTTGGTTGATCTGCTCTTTTGGCTTGCTGAGTTAGAATATTATGGCCTTAGATTCGATAACACTTGCTTAAGTAGTTAACCAGGTCAGTTGTTTTCTACCTTTATTAGGGAATAAGTGGATAAAAGTAGCTTAATGCTTTGACAAAATACCATTTGATTGAAACTAATGACAAACCATCTTTCACTACTTCTTAATTCTCCTTTAAGAAAGCCAAAGTAAACCCATCTGAACCCAGTGCTTTATCCCTATTACTACTCATAATAGCATTCTTGATCTCTTCTTCTTCAAAAGCTAGTTCAAGAGTCGATGCCATGTCTTCACTAATGCGCTCTCAAAAGACAAGTCCTCGGGACGAGGACAAGCGTCGCAAGTCTATAGTAGTTCCCAATCTCCTCCTTTAGCAGATTAATGTCTTCAAAAGTATTCCTATCAGTTTCCATTCTATTCAAAATTGCATCGCCTATGAACCCTAGCCATTCTGTGGAAAGTATCTTGTATTACGATCCCTCTGTCTTAGTCAAAGGCTTCAAGACTTTTGCTTCCACATGATTTCTTCCAATCAGATCACATCAGCGAGATGCTTTTTCAGAAGTATTTGTTCTAATCTCTT